TTTTTTTTATTTTACCTCCTTTAAATACATCTCATATGTTCCTGTCTCGGGCTCTGACATGATTTTAGAGATAACTAATTGATCAAACTGATGGTAATCCTTGCACAGCTTTTTTCTCTTATAAAAAAATAATTTTTATTGCCCTTTAATTGACAATGTATTTTTCTCCTCATGTATCGAGTGAGACCTCTTGATTTAGATGGAACCCCCCCCATCGTGGTATTTAAAAGTCCTCTTTGTTGTATTGGCCTGTATAAATACATAAATTAGTGTTGCAATCAGTAAATAATTGTTTGGATGAAATAAAATTGGAATATTCAGTCTACCACTATTACACACCCCTTATTCTAATCCCATGTCTGTTTTTGCCTTGTTCTCTTAGGATGACTGATACACCTATGTTGTTTCACTGTTAAAAATAGCTAAAAGTGTATATTTGTCTTTATTTTCACATTCAGGGAGCCCCACTGAGCCCTGCGCTGACTGGATGGGGTCTTGGACATCTGGTTTGTGGCTGTCTCCTGGAGAGAAGTCTCAGCAGGAATACCTCATGGGTTTATCTGCCCAGTACCAGGTGGAACACTATGAGGACTGCTATAATTTACTAGGTTAGTGCAGAACATGCAGCAAGGGGGGAAATAAAAGCTTTCTATGGCCTGATATACAATACTCCTCAAAAGAATCCATGCTTCTAAAAGCTGCATACTTCTGCCTCTTGACTGACAGAAAGTGGTGCATAAATGAAGTAAGGGATGCATTTTTAGCAATTATCTAATCAAAATCATCTTGTTAATAATTTAATCTGTTAAAATGCAGCTGCTCTGTGATACTTAGAGTTCCAACAGAACAAAGATTCTGAACATTCAGGCTCACAAATATTTTCAATAGTTTAGTTCATGTCCAATCATGCACAGGTGTTTGCCACATTGTGTTGATATAATTTGCTTCCAATGAAATGCACAGCAGTTTGCCTATGGAATGTTGCAAAACAAGAAGTTGTTCAACTGTATGAATGCTTTTGGCTCAGCAGTTTAAATTTGTTGAAAAGTAAAACGTTTGTGTTTGATATTCAGCTTGATGTCAGAGATTGGATAAACAGGAAAAAGCTTCAGCTTTTTCATTTGAGCCGTTTCAGGTCTGCTGGAAGGTTAGGGGGCCTGTGCCCTTCAAACATTTGCATTGCAAAAAAAATGAGATAAAAGCAAATATTATCTTTAGATTATTATCCTAGATGGATAAATGGGTGCTTGTTCACATAAAAAATGATTAAAACCTAAAAAAAACGCACAGGTCAGCTCTGTGTTTGGATTTGCACGTCTTCTTTTAGGCAAACATGTACTTGACTTGCGTAAATGTAAGTAATTTCATAAAAACAGGTAGATGTTTAGCTGTGGAGGATCATAGCTTGTTAAAGTCCTATCCTCTCGTTTTCACTCTCAATTTGTTGTTTATTCATGCTGCAAGCATTCATGCCTAAATCAATCAGCGTCTTCTCCAGCGAATTCCTCTTCCACATCGCTGATCAAGACCAGCAGCCATAATTATTTAGGCTGGGTTTCCTTAAATACGGGGATCGGATCGACTAAGCAAGCGAAGCAACCTGCTTCTGGGTGATTACTGCTGTAATCAGTCTGAAACTTATCTAACTAGAGCCTAAATTATACGCACACAAAAAAAGGATTCAGACTCAGTTATGTAACCTGCAGCTGTGAGAGAGACACTCCTTCAGCACCATCCTCATCATCTCCTTCTCACAGCTTCGTCTCCTGAGTCCCAGCTGCTGAAGCAGGTAACGCGGGGGCCCTGGGGCCTTCCCATGGACCCAACGCTTCGCAGAGCCACAGACACCACAGCTGTCCAGCTCAGTGAGATGGTTTCCCTGCCAGTGCTGATAAAGCACTCCGTCACCGCCCCGCTCATCACGCAGTAAGTTCCCAGCTGGAAGAGCACAGCATGAGGGTTAGGAAGAAATAAATTACATATTTTAAAGCAGAATTATGGTTTAGATTCTGCGTTTATCATTATGTACAAAAAAGAAAGTGGTGCAATGATGACAAAATAAAGATAGGTGGTATCAGCCTCTCTCTGTGATCTCAAGTATTTCTCCCCTTTTTTTATCGGTGCTCCTCTTTGCCCTCTCTTCCCAGTGTGTCCTTGGTGAATAAGGCTGTAGTGGACTACTTCTTCGTAGAGCTGGGGGTGGAAAAACACTTTGAGGCGCTGCGTCACTTCCTGCTGATGGAGGATGGCGAGTTTGCACAGTCCCTCAGTGATCTAATCTTTGAAAAGGTGATGCTTTTTGGCCTATTTCTGTGTTTTCTTTGCAGATTTTTTGGTGAGATTTGAAATAGTGTTTTTTTTTGTCATTGACCGATTTTCCTCTCTTTGATACGTCTGCTTTTAGCCTGCGTAGGGAACGTAGATTTGCAGGATCACATAGCCATTAAAAAGCATTTTGTCCCATATGCTCATCTGTGGAAAACTTTGCAGTGGTTTAGATTTTATTTAATTTTCTTGTGCATAAATTATTTCATGTAGTTAAACCAATTACATAGACTGTGGTATTACTGTTAACCCTTAATATTTAACATAGATGTAGTAAATCAGATAGACAAGGGATTAACCTAGTGTGCGTTTTATTTGAACAGCTCTCCTTCCCGCTATCATCGCAAACCCCACCCCCTTACAGGGGATCAGGGGGACCTCGCCTGTTCAACCAAGCCAACAATTCCCTCTAACGACCCCCCCTTTAGAGACATAGACGGGTATCGGTGATTACAGGCTAACAAAGAACCCAAGCGACTCCCCATTCCTAAGGGGCAGACTCATTCTTCCGGTTCAATTTGCATGTTTTCTTAGCCAAAACAAGGCTTTGTTTATGGTCAACTCTATTAAGTCTCAAACTCAATGATATTTCTGACATTTTGGATTGAAAAATCTTCCTGGATGGGAAGAGAAACTTCTTCAAACTTGGAAACAAAGTGCAGAAGATTTATTTATTTTTTTAAACTTTTTTTTAAAGGTTCTTGCAATTCAGTTTCACCGTTTTCCAGGTCCATGTTTCTTATGTTATTTAATCTGACCTTCCTTATTTCTCTCTCTTTTTTTTTTTTTTTTTGCAAGGTTTCTTATTTAAATTCTGACCTGTAGAAATGCCAGCCAAATACTCAGAGTGAATGCAGTATTTTAAACTGAGTGTAATGACTGGGAAGTCTAGACATTTCTCCATGAACATCATGTAAAACCCTGTGCATCTAATTGTGCTGCCAGCTTTAAGCTTCCTGCCATGAATAACAAGTCGCTCACACCTCATTGCTGTTCTGCAGGAACATTCATGTGCATCTGTCTCCCCGGGCCCATCAGACTGAAGGTGTTGTTTATTCAGTCAAAGCTCTAATTCTGCTGATTGGCACTCCTACATCCACACAGGAAGCTGAGCTTCCACCACTCTTTTGTTAAACTTAAGTCTTATAGAATGAGCCTATTTAAGTCAATAAATGTGATCTGTGCTGTGCTCAATCTCCATTTCCACCTTCCAGATGGCCAGTGGCCAGACTCCAGGCGAGCTTCTGACCCCCCTGGTCCTGAACTCCATTCTCAGTAAGGCCCTGCAGTACAGCCTACATGGAGACACCCCCTTAGCTTCCAACTTCACCTTCGCCCTGCGCTTCCTGCCAGAGACCTTCCACCCTCACGCCCCAGACTCCCTCAACTGTTTGGAGCTGCGTTACAAGGTGAGGCGTTTTGATGGAGCGAGCGTGGCGATGAGGACGCTGACATGGGCGTGTTTGTCCCAGCGTGAATGTGACAGCCTGACATGTTTTGACAAACTGCTGTGCATGTAGAAAATGAGCTTATCTCCCTGAAATGGTTGAGCATCACAGATTTATTAGATCCATGCCGTGCTCAGAAACGAATGGCGCACATATTGGCCTTAGCACTCCTCTCTCATGTTTCCTGAAGCAGCTGAGTCTCCATCCTGCCCCCCTCCCCCACCGCTTGCTTATCTTTACCTCTTGCTTCACATGTTCTGCCTCTTTATGTCACCATATTTCTTCATCCTGTTCCTCTCACCCTTTCACAATCCTCTCACCTACTTTATCACCGTCTGCATATTCACACCTCTCTCCGCTCATCCTGCGTCATCCATCACTCTGCCTTTACCTGTTTTTATTTATTTTATTTTTTTTCTCCTCTCAACTCTCATTCCACCTTTCTGTAATTTCCTTCCCACTCTCAGCCTCTCTAAGCTTCGCTCTGACAGAGATTTTTATTTTTTTTTCCTTTCCTCTCTCCTTCCCCCCAGGTTGACTGGCCGTTGAACATCATCATCACCGACAGCTGCATGAGCAAGTACAACCGCTTGTTTTCGTTCCTGCTGCAGCTCAAACACATGGTGTGGAGCCTCAGGGATGTCTGGTTTCACCTCAAGAGGACAGGTGAGGGAAAGGTAGCTGCTGATGCAGCTTTAGCTCGGACTCCAGCTAACCTCAAAGGAAGGAGGTATAGGGTTCTTCCTGTAGTGCTTTATAGTCGACTCTACATTATTTATAAAAAGGAATGCAAAAGTTATTTTATGATTTATTCATACTAAGCACAGGTCAAGGCCAGTGGGAACGTTGTCTAGCTGTTTTCTTCTTGGAGTTTGATGATATTGATCTGCAACTCTTCACAGAGCTCAGAAATTGATATACTGAGAGAAACAGAAGATGGAAACAAACAGTAAAACAAACTTTAGTAATATTAGCATGATGCTACAAAATGTCCATACAGCACATCAAACCTACTTTATCCCAAAAAATGAGAATAAAATACTCAAATAATAACAATAATTAAATATTTAATTAATTAATAATAAATAATTAAGTTCTAGAACATTTTCTTGCATTCAACTCACAAAATTCAATGTATTTAATGGATTAATTCTACCGTTTCTTAGGCCGTTTCTCAATATGTGTTCTTGTGCATTCTCATGTGCTCGTGTACTCGTGAAAAGTCATCAGCATCAGCCCCAGTACTGTTCCAATTAACAAGAACAACAGACCAAGAACAGACAAAGTCCACCGATATTGTTCTTCCCCCTCACTCTTTACCCAGCATGCATCAGAGCAGACTTATCCATTCTTGAGATTGACGGCTGTCCCAGCATGCACTGCGGCAGCAGCAGCTTAGAATTGGGCGCTCACAGACCTCAGAATATTAAGTTAAAAGTTCTATTTCCTGTTGCTGTTGTTCATTAAAAGTAAGTTTTAAGATCATTTGAGGCGAGAATATTATACTTTATATATGGTCCATTTACAGATTTAATGCGTCATTTAAAAAAAAAAATTCTGAAGTTGAGGACAGCGGGAACCAGCGGAGCTCCTAGGCTAACTGCAGCCCGTCTATAGCAGCCCTCTTTCTGCATAGCCATGTGTGAAAGACCGCTGGCAATGATGCCGACTTTTTTTTGTTGTTTTATTTGGCAAAATGTGATTTGTGACACCAAATGAAAAAAGTCAGAATTTGTTTATATCTAGAGACTATTAATAACAGGACGTAAAATGCAGCTCAAAAATACGATCAAGTAAAATGATACGACTGGCATAAATCAAATACAAACAGCATAAAAATAAAACAAGCCGGACCCATCTAGGCGTAATCGGAGACAACGACACACAAAGTGTGCTCCTGATGTCCAGTCTGCTCCGTAGCTTTGTTTTGGTCGCTGTAACCGCAGAAAATCCCGCTTCACAAAGATAGGATGAGTCTTGAACTGAATTAAGCTGTGTCAAGAGGCACAGATGCACCGACTGATGAAATTGGGAGAGAATACCGTTATTTTTTTTATATTTTTCAAAATAAAACATCACTTAGACTCTGATAGTCCATATATATATACTTTTTTCTGTGCGGCCCGGTACCAAATGACCGACGGACCGGTATTGGTCCGCGGCCCGGTGGTTGGGGACCGCTGCAGTAAAAGGTTCATGTATTGGTGTGTTCTGTAAAATCCTACCTAGGTTTTAACTCCTCCACATCTTCATCCTTGACTTGTCTACTGTTTCTTGGTCAGCATGATGTACTTTGTTCAGTAATATTCTGAGACGAACCTCTGAGGCCTTCACAGAACCTGCTGGGTTTTTACTAAGATTTATTTCTTACATGTCCAGGCCACATGTATGATTTTCTCTGTGTAATATTTTGGCAGGTTTTCTAGCCTGTAATCAGCATGTTTGTCCTCCCCTTCAGATCCTCACCTGCTTCCTTGCTCATGTCTTGCAGCTCTGGTGAAAGGCGCAGGCCGATCGGTACAGTTCCATCAGCTGCAGCTCTACAGGCATGAGATGCAGCATTTTGTAAAAGTCATACAGGGTTACATCGCCAACCAGATCCTACAGGTGTCCTGGACCGAGTTCACGGCCAAGCTGGCCACCGCCAGTGACCTGGACGCCATCCACCGCACACATGCCGATTACCTCAACAGAGCCATCTTCAGGTGAGAACTGGAACTGTAAATGTATGATCTATAACCTCACAGCATGCTGACTGGAACAAACTGCTATTGTGATATTTGATTTGTTTCAAGAAGTCAGGAAGTGACAGCTTGTGTTTTAGCATAAGTTATTCAGTCAGTATTTATAGTTATTTCAGCCTTATATTAGATGCTCTCATAGCCATAGACAGGTAAAGGCTTAATATCTCAGTTTCAATCTATTTATTTCCCTCATAAAACACTCATCCACATTCTAGTTGAATGTGCTGAGGCTAAATTGTGAGCATGATGAATGATTTAATCTGCGGATAAATAATTCAGAAGAGGTTGTTAGTATCACACTGAGGTGTTTCACAGCTTAGTCTTGTCTGGAAGGTCATTAAAAAGTTGACTTTAATCTTTCTGTGACCTCTCTCTCTCCCCTCAACCTCTCCAGGGGTCTGCTGACAGAGAAAGCAGCTCCAGTCATGAACATCATCCACAGCATTTTCAGCCTCATTCTCAAATTTCGTGCCCAGCTCATCGCGCAACCCTGGGACAGCCAGCAGGGGGAGGCAGTGCACCCAAGCTTCATTGCCATGCAGCAGTCGTACAACACTTTTAAGTATTACTCTCACTTCCTTTTCAAAGGTAAGACCAGAGCATATTGTTTCACCTCTGGCTGAATGACAGTCTGGTCTCTTTGGTTTCAGTTGCATACAGAACAGGAAAGATTCACCGCTTTTAAAAAGAAAAAAAGAAAGACTCTTAATTCCATCATTAGGCCATTTAGAAATCACAGAAAAGCCGACTGTAATAGTCTGTAATCTTCCTAATAGATTTTAAGCAGTGTTGCTGCCAGTTCACTGTGTAAAAAGCACTAAACTTAATGTGCTAATTAGTACCTTCATTACAAAGTGGTGCCAATACATTTTTACAAGAGAGGTGAAGTCGTTTTAAATTATAATCCTAAATGACCCCTAAAAGATCCACTTGGTGCTTTGGCATCTTGGTCTCCAAATTTAATAAAAGTGAGTAAGTCAACACTAAAATACAAATAAACTGCCTCATGTTATTTGAAGGCAGACATTTTTGGCCTATTTTTGTAAATTGTAATATTTTTCCCATCAAAGATCGCACTAAAGCGTTTCTTTGTGATTCTACATAAAAACTCAACAGTTCAAACCCAATATTTCATGCAGCTCTATTGCATAAATATGAATGCATTACAACTTGGAGAGGAATCACAGGCTTTGCAGGAATTTCTGGATGTTAAACCGTTCTCCCAATCAGAATTAGGAGAGCTAATGTAATTTAGTTGGGTTCAAGACAGAATCCCATTTTGAGAACTTTTTTTTTTATAGAGTTGAGGTTTCAGCATTAGAGAAGTCATTGAGGAAAATTTGTTTGCATGTTTTGTACCATTTTATGTTTTGAGCACCAAATTGGGCCTTTGTTCCAATATTCTGATCCAGATTGCTTTTCTCAGATGAAAAGAAACAGGTTCTATTAATCAATAGTAATAAAGTGCATCACAAACTGGAACATGCTTAAACTTTAGTGCCATTGTTAACAGTAAAGGCAGATTTATGGTCACAGGCTGCAAATACGCTGACCAAAGACGAAGCCCATCTGTGTATATTCTAAGTCAAATTTAGTCCTTCCAGTGTTACATGGGTTGTAGTGCAGCTGCCCATCATCAGTGGGCAACAGGAGGGTTTAGTCAGGATGCAGTCACCAGCTATCACCAAGAAACATAGATATAAACACCACAAACAGCCGTGCACATTCATTTCAACTTTCATTCCACTCAAAGAAGTCAGTAAACCCAGCATGTATTGGCCGTAGTCGTCCAGAAAACATTACGTGCTCCTAGTTAGTACACACAGGTTTTATCCGAAAATATCTTAGCACATGACAGTTCTGCAGCCAAAGAAGAAAAAAGTGGTGCAACATGGACACCTTAAAAAGAACTGCAGCTGCCCATGCAAGCAAACCACAAAACTTTATTTGTTTAGCTTCCTGTGAGGATTGAAATGTTTGGGAGTTTCACGGTGTAGCTTCATAAACCTAAGGACATTGTACCAACAAAACCTGCCTCCATCTATATAAATAATATTAAGCTTCTGAAACCCTCCTGGCCTCAACATTGTGGACTTCACCTTAATTGAGTCCATGCCATGAGACCAAGCAGGTAAAATGATCTTTAGCAAACCTGTAAAATAAAAACCAGATGTCCAGATAAACCTTATAAAAAAACTTGTTGGGTTTTCCAACCATTATGGAGTTTTATGCATATATATACGAGCCTGTGTGTATAATTCTGAACCCATGTGGAATATTGAAAACATGCTTAAAATAAAACTTGTAAAAGTGTTTAAATATTAACATTATTTTTTCAGATACGTATGTAAACTTCTGACTTCTTTCTCCTTTTCACAGTGGTGACTAAGCTGGTGAACCGAGGCTATCAGCCTCATTTAGAAGATTTCCTGCTTCGCATAAACTTCAACAACTACTACAAGGACTCTTAAGGTGCATGCTGGGCTGCTTTTAAACTCCATGTCTTTAGCCATAAACCTCCCTGTGTTATAATTGTGTTTAAAGTCCTTGAAATCCCACCTCTGCTGCACTCAATTTAGGAAGCAAAAAGTAATTAATGTTTTGTCCTTAATCATTTCTGCGCTCTTCAGTAATCAACACACTGCCAGCATGGTTTAACTGAAGCTGATGTCTGTCGTTATAAATTAGATGTATGTTTGAAACTAATATAAATGAACTTTTCATATGTAAATACATTTTTTTCCAAATAAAAAACTATTTGAATTGTTTGATTCAAGTTTCTAAAGTAATAAATAAATAAAAACAACCAATTCATCTGTTAAGAAATCACATATTTATTAAAGACTGATAACAGTGGTTTTAAGAAAACCAGGTTGAATTAAGTGCAAAGCATTTCAGGTATTAAACTTAGCAGTTAAAAAAAAAACACAGAAAAAGGAAATGCATTTTTGCTATATTATAGTTATGTACCTCCTAAACAATGAGTACCGAGATTCTTCCTAATGATAAATTACTCATAAAGATGAGAGGAATAGAGCAGCAGCAGGTCACATACAGAAGGAAGATTCCGTTTCCAGACGGGATATTAAGGTTAAAACTAATTTCTTCAATTTGAAAGAGAACACAAACAGCAGCTTGATCTCTAAGGAAATTTGTTTTCATTACTCTGATGAACAAAGTTTGCCTCAGCGTGAGACACACTGCAAATAAACCCTTCTGTCAGGCAACAGAACAGAGGATTGGAGGATGTTTAACAAGTCGTTTCTGGTGTGAAATCCAAGAAACCAGTCATTAAAGAAAAAAAAAAAAAGCTGTGTTCATAGAGTTTGCATCTCATCTCAGCCCGGAGGTGTCCAAGTTTTATCCTTTAGTTGTCATATCCGAATTGTAGATTGTAATTTAAAATGTAATATAATTCATGTAGTGCAGGTCATCTGCTGTGAGACGCTTTAGATTTGAGACTAGCCTGACAGCACAACAGATTCAACCTGTTGTGCTGTCAAAGGTAGCATATAAATGCTTTTTCAGCTAAGTAATTCAGATTTATTTGTGGTAGAAAAAAGATAAGCCTAAGGGGCCCATTTCACAACTTCCTGCAATACCTCCATTATCTACAAGGGCAACACATTAAAGACCACTGACCACATTATCCCTGGTGTGCAAGTTAAAGGCGATTGCTGCAAGTTTAAGTCCTCCCAGCGAGTAATTGGCGCACTCTCCCACTCTTGTCCTATAATGTTTAGCAACCCGTTGCCTGTTCGGTCCATCAATGCTGATATTTAACACACCTGTCTAGAAGGAAATTGCTTCTAAGCCCCAATAGACATCAATATAAACCTGTTTTTTGGCTTAAATCTGATGTATCAAAGAAGAAGTCATTTCTCAGCTCTATCACAAAGCAACTAGGATTGGACAATGACTCAGCCCCGTATCACATGGCTTCAACCTACTATTGGCTCAGAATCCTTGTGTCAACATCGGCATTTTAACCACATGGAAATGTTTCGATATTTTGGACCCCTCAAAATTCATTAAGCAACCATTTAAATACTATTTTTTCCTCTTAGACTAATTAACTTTTATTCTGCTCCACTCTAGATGTTGAGGATTAATTAAATTTGATACATTAATTTTGACAAAAAGTTGTAGTTGTGACCTTTGGGCAAACCCCATGATGACAAGATATTAGACATTTAGATAAGCTAGATCCAGTTTAGAAAAGACCAACAAACTTTTGTAGATGATATTTTGAAAATAAATTTGTACTGAAAAAGACAGACATGAGGCTTAAAACCTACATGCATTCAAAGTAGACATGTTAGATCAATCATGGACCTTTAAGTAGAGGTTTAGCTCAAAGGTGGAATAACGGTTACCGGTTAATAAAAAAAGAAATCCCTAAAGGATCAAACCTACAAAAAAAAGGAGTAAAATATAATCCCCCTCACCTTCGTGGTAAGAATATATTCAAACCCTTCCCTTGAATTTATCATCATACCTTCCTCCTATGAGGATATTAACAAACAAGGAACCACTTGGGAACCATGTCCAAGATGTTTTTAAAGCGTGAATTGAAATTTGCAGTTTCTAGCAGGACAGGCTAAATGGTTGAGGTGAGACAAAGAGCCGAGCTGTTCAAGTTTTTAAATCTGCTGTCAAAGTATGACCCCTCCACCCAGAGAAGAGCAGCTCCTTACATCTTTCATGTAAGGCCAAAGGTTCCTGACCTTCATGATTCTCTCTATCGACTCTTCACTGGAAATGTCCTAAATGAAATAGCCCCTTGTGTTTTGGTAGGTTCTGCCTCTAAACCCTTTTACTATAAGACAACAAGCAAAACCCTGTATTGTAACATTCAAGGTCATGAAAATATTCAGAATTTACAGGTTAAATGGTAAATAGGGTTCAAACAGAGCAGAAACGCACAATGAAAAATTCCCACCGATAACTCAACTTTCAGCTCCTCTGCTTCGATTATCATTGATAAACATGCGAAAACAGGCGTTTTTTTTCCCTGCCCCCCCAAGATCGCAATACTTGGCTGAGTCTTGTTTCATGCATTACTGGAGAAAATTAGAGTTGAGTTTCCTCTTGTATTACAGCTCGGTACTTGGAAGAGAGGCTTTAATCTTCTACAAATGGAGCAGGAGCGAACGGTGTCATTTAATCATGCACCGCAGCAGGCCCTCTACACACACACACACACACACATATATACCCCCCACACACATACAGGTTCAACGGCAAATAGACACTCTAACAAATCATATTTACACAAGATTCAAAAGAAATGGAGCATAGAGTTGTTTTTGGGGAGGATTCTCACTAAGGATGTCGCAGGCAGATTAGCCTCTGTTCTGTTTTCTGCAGGTAGTGGGAAACTCTTTCAAGCAGGATGTCAGTTCAGGTTAGTGTTGAAGATTTAAAGTCTGCAGAGATTAATTAAATGTCTTCCTCCTACCCCACAATTTCTAGGTAGTTATAATAAACTATAGTCACTATGAGCAAAAGCAAACATTGTCTAAACTTTCTTCTTTCAACAGTTTTAGCTTCTTTAGCTGTATTAATTAGTGCTTTACCTTAAAAGTGCAATATTTTTTTTATATGAAGCTTCAGGAAATAAAATGCAAAAAACAGATTAATTACATATAAGTTTACAAGGTTTTCACAGGAAGAAAAGCTGAAATAACTGTAAACCAGACATGAAGAGATGGGCACCTCCAGTACCAACCAGGGGAGGACCTTAGGATGTGCATGCCTTGTAAAGTGGTGCACAAAGAAGGAAATGACTTCCATACTAATATTAAAAATGGAATGTGGTGATATTTAACAGCGAAAAGATGGATTTATCTGATGCTTTTGGTTGAACCGACGTCCTTCTAGCACAGCAGTGGTATGGAGATGCAGCTGCACAGGTTCTGTAAAAACAAAGCCGTCCCTCTTGGGACAGTGTTACAGTACTAGACTTGGGATGAAGGTCATAATAAAACCTGGACTTTGATGTTTTGGTCTTTGGGGTGGGGGGGGGGAGACGTCTCAGGCCTCAGACTCAAGATCCTCTTGGCCTGCTCCACTGTTTGTTGTCGTCTCGGGCTCGAGAAGCAGAAACTTGCCGTCATTGGTCAGAGGCATGTTCTTCATCAGCTCGGCCAGAGCTTCTGGATCCTTTGGCAGAAAAAAAAAAACACCCACAGCTGAGTGAAAATTCACTGACCTCACTTTGTGTTAAAGCTGCTAAAAGTATTAACATCCCATTAACCTTTATACATCAATAAAACAAACACAGATGTTTGTTTAATTTAGTGTGATTGTATATGATATGCTAACACAAGTACATAATGGTAAAGGGAATGGGATGCTTTTATTTTGTTAACTTTGATACCCCCAAATAAAATCTAGTGCAGCAAACAGTCATAAATCTTAATTAGATTTTATTTGTGTGTAATTTAAAATCATACAAATCTAATGTTTCTGTGAATGCCTCAGAGGTTTGTTGGAAAGCAACGAACAAAGAGCAAGAGGAGGCATGCGGACCAACAAACTAGATCTACCAAGACAAGATTAAACCTGGGTTAGGTTATAAAAAAAATGCTCCAATTCTTTCACCAATCACAAAGTTTGGTTAGATGATCAGAAAATAAATAATAGGTAGATCCATCGTCATACTAATTCCAACTAAACTAACAGGAAGAGCTTTAATAACAAGAAGCAGCCTAGGGTAGCTTTTGAGGAGCTGTAGAAATCCATAGCTCAGGTGGGAAAATGTGACATATGGCCCTTCACAAATATGTTTTATTTATTTTTTTTTATAAATAAAGTGAGCAGAAAATTGTAAGAAGGAAATTAGGCAGAAACTTAAGTCTTAAATGGAAGAGACACCCCAAAGATTTGGCTAGAGTTGCACCATTAGATGGTTCTTTTGTCTCACATCACCAGTTCATACCGCTCTATGGCATCATATCTAAAGCTATCCTAATGAATCATAAGCGGATTCCTCAAACATTGAAAGCATAACAAATATATTCAAGTTCAAATTCATTGTATTCTCATTCCAGACCATGGGTGCCCTCTAGTGGAGGAGTTCCAACCTATTTCCATGCAAATTTCACCATTCAGTTCAAACTGAGATGTGTTTTATGCTAAACATGCAGTCATGTAATAAATTTATAAATATAATACTGTTGGCTTTAGTAAAAGTAAGTTAAAAATGACATCTAAAAAGATTGTATTTTAAGTAAGTAAAAGTAAATTCTTGGTACCAGCTTTTTGCCATCTTAATATAGAATCAAAATGTGATGTTTTAATTCCTGCTCCTAGGTTTCTGTAACACCATATTACCTTCTTTGCTTCTGTAATCTCCTTTGCCAAATTTATGGTGTAACATATCTGTGAATAAAAAGGAAAAGGGCAGAACTAATTACACACGTTCAGCTTCAGTAAGCATGTTTTCCACCTGAAACATAAAACTAACAAACTGCTGATGTAACAGAGAGCAGACCTTTTCGCCCTCAGTGTTGCTCTCAAAGACGAAAGCGCTAAACGATGGTTCTCCCTCTTCGTTTCCGTCACTCCAGTCTCTCCCCTCGACCACGAACCCCATCAGCCGTCCGTTCTCTTGGTGCGCCGCAAACTGGCAGACCTCGTCTAGCTGGAACTGAGGAAAAAGGGATAAAGGTGGAAAACATGACGGAAGCCTCTGATAAAAAAAAAAACAAACAAAAAATGTCATACTTACACTTATTCTTGTT